CTTGGCACTTTCACTTTGAACTTTCGGCATACTGGACACTGTTATTAAAACTTAAAACCATTCAAATTATTAAGTATAAACGTCTGCACATTTACGCAACACRCGACGTGCCARTACAATTTTTCTGTTCTATCTTACTGTATAACAAATAACAATGTGTAAGTAATTCTACCGGTCGTCCGACCAACGATAAGGTAACGAACGGATATCATCTGACCAAAGATAAAATATGTAGTATTTATGCTATACATTTACGAAAATTCAATGGATAAACCAAAAACTGTCGGTTTCGTGAAGTATCATTTAAAATTAACAATAACTTATAAAAATTAAAAATGTTAGTTGAAAAATATCGAATTCTAAAAAAATCTATGAATATGCAATTATATGCATTATGTCCAAAATATGTAAAAAAAAATTGGTTCTATTTAAACGAGAAGAAGCCAAATCGTGGACAAATCTGACAACCAATCAATTTGGACTAAAGGAAAAAAAATATGCAAATGCATATAAATCTTAGCCCTAATAATTAGTATTAGTGACGATAGCTAGGATAGTTGGACTCTAGAAAGGTATTATTATTATTATTATTTTTTTTTTTGGTAGCTAGGTTTAACTTAGTTAGATATTATAGATTACAAATATATGCAATATAACAAGAGATTAAACGAATTTTATTATTAAAATGTAGAAGTATATATACCTACCTAATTTATACAAACTAATAATATACACTATACTATTTTTTTTCTTCAGAATGTCGTCGAAATGATGGCGTTGGCCTTTTCGTTGGCTACTCGTACAAACCGCGGTGGACTACGTACGTCCGTGCACTTTAGCTTGGTGCTGTTGGTAGTGTGTCAAAGTCTGTGCGGGACATCGAGCACGGCGTCTGCCACCCGCCATTGGAGTTTGGCYGAATTGTCGGTGACGTCTAGCGAGCTGCCCAAACAGATACCGGCGCCGCCTTATCCTGTACAGCAAAGGATCCAATCGACTCCGCACTATGACCAACAGCTTAAATTGCCATCGGGAAACGGTGTAGGTTCGCGGAACCATTACTATCCGTGGACCCGMCCGACGGTGTCGATTATCTGAGCCGATTGATGTTATTATTACCCATAATTATTATTGCTTTGTCAACAATTTCATCGCTACATTATCAGATCACCATTTCGTGAATAGGAACCGGAACTGAACCGAAATGAGCCGGTTCCTTAAAGATTTATTCGTCATATCAAGGGAGGTTCTTGAACAGCTACAAGTGAGGAGGCGAAAATATTTTGCACATACTTAATATTTACATGCATATCCCATTTATTTTTTCCTATTGCTATCATATTTTTACACAGCCCAAAAGATGGGGCGCCACCTATCGCCCTTCTCCCCCTCGTAAGACCACCACTGCATCATTTAATATGGATCCAATACAGGTTGAACCTTCACTTTAACAAAATCCACAACACTGTTGAGCCCTAAGTAGGTCCATTTCCTTTAACTGTAAATGATCAGAATTTTTATCATGCCAGTTTTAAAAGCAAAAGAAGCGAGAATGACTAATCCAAAATCGGRACAGATCTGCAAATCAAATTATATAAAAGGTTCCAGTTCCTGAATCACTTATTAACTAAAGCCAGTATAACAATATTAAGCCAATAATTATATTGTTTTACCTATTTGGGATTTTTAACTGTTATTAATGATAAATATTAAATTATAAAATATTGTAAAAGAAAAATACATATGTAATACATGTTGCGGTGACCAAAGTTACCTGGCTAAACTACATGTACCTATATTATGTTACCTTCACGTTATCTATTATTTTTTTAAGTAGGTGCCTACACTTATTTT